CACCACGGGTATTGAAACCCGGATTCTAGCATTGTAAGTATGCAGACATACCACTGTGGCACGGGGGGGGACTATCATTTGGACTCTACCCTTTCTCGATTAACTCCAAACTAGGTGTCTAAATAAAGCTGTCAAAAAAATTGGGGTTAAGTATCCGTATTGTACAAAACTTGAGGATTACACTAAAAGTTATAATTTTCCTACACTGAAAATATATTTCTGATAGATACTTATATCTTATCACATAATAGCTTTTCTCAAAGATGCTGCCCTCTATACGTGCAATTTTTTCTCACCACTAGCCCTGACACTCCCATATACCCCATGCATTTACATGTGGTATAGCTGCACTGTAGCATGCAAATAAGCATGCAACAGCTTTTTACCAATAGGTGTGTGACACACCCTCTTGGCGCAGCTGACTCCCTCTATACTGTAGACCAGAAATGGAGAGGGTGGGAAGTATAAGCAGAGGTAATTATCTATCGGAATTATATTTTTTGTGTAGGAAAATTATAACTTCCAATATGATACCTTACCTCCTCTTACATGATAGCTAGAAACCCACACTGAACTGGTGGAGGGACCAGTACAAAATTTACCTAGATCCCAGCAGGAGGGGTAAACTGTAATTGATGAATCACCTCCAATCCAAAACCAGGTAGCAGCGGCAATGTTTCTTCCAGTCCACAAAAGGGGGAGAGTTCACACCATCTACAGCCAATAGAACACTACTGCCCAACTCTCAACTGAACAGGATTGAGCACACTCAGGAGGATGCCTTTATGGTCCACTCACTACCCCAGCAGTAAGGAGCTGGTAAGTGGCAAGGGCTCTCGTACTCTACTAATTGCATATGGAGTAGAGACAATGCAGTGGGGAGTCTATATATAAAATTTATTTATTTATTTATCAGGTTTATCCTGATTTATTTAACCAGGATCAGTACAGTGCAGATTTATGAAATAATATACCTGGGCAGGCACCAAAGAGCAGGATTCAACATATAAAATGTGCCACTGTAATGAAAATAACGAGAAAGAAAATTACCCACTGTCAGTTGAACTGAAGAGTGGAGGATGGCAATGGGTGGTAATCGATATCATGATGAGAAGGAGACAGCCACATGATGAAGATAATGAGAGACAAAGGTTTGTGGTGTTGAGAATGAAAAGATCTTAGTTAGGATGCCAGTCCATGGTCTTCTTGGGAACTACAAACAACATGGAATAGAACCCAAGAGAAGAGTGACTGACAGGTTCAACAGCATCCTTGAGAAAAAGAACCTGAACTGCTTCAGAAAATGCTGGCAGGAAACTGGATCCCAAGCAGGAGGGAAGGGAATGGGATGAGAGGATAAGGGAGGTAGATTTAGAAAACAAAGGAAAAGTCCTTTGTTTAACAATTGAAGCACCCAAGGATCCGAGGTGAAATTGCTCCATAGGTGCACAAACCTAGCCAAACGTGCTACAACTGTGCCAGAACCTACAGTATAGTCACTGATACTGTTAGTGGCAGGGGACCCAGTGATGAACAATCTGATGGCTAGTCACCAAGATCCAGGAGAGGGGGGCAGGCATAATGGTGGAATACAGGAGCAGGTGAAAAACTGTAAAAGATGAGAGGCTGTTGGATATACAAGACTGTTTAGTGTGAGGATTATTATTTAATCTATTTTGTACATTTAATATTTTCTGATTATGAAAAGTAAAGGGTATTTCTTCTGTACTTATTTCAGTTTCTGAAAACCTACATTTGGGATGTCACCTTTTGATACTGCAGGAACTTGATGACTTGCTGGTTCTTCTTTTCTTGAGCTCTAATGATAACTGCAGATGCCTCATCAGTCTTCTTTCTGTCTAGTTCCTACACAATTCTCATACACATGGCATCAAGGTCTCCCAAGTAATATGGAATATCAACCTTTATTTCTGCTATGGGAAATTTTCTCATTGTCTCATCAATCAGCACACATAGGCATACGCTGCCCATCATCTGATCATCAGATACTACACTGGTTCTCACTGCTGCAATGCTGCACCCAGTGTCTTTTAGCACCTTCACATAGCCTTTAACTTCTGGCATGTTTTGGTTTGTTGGCACCATTACTGGCA